ATCAAATAAGTAATTTCATGCACTCAACAGCACAGTCTTTCCCCAGCCCTTTTCCAGATCGTGTATGCCTCACATCACACAGATGGTTCCTTTAAACGAATCCTTAACTTGTAAGGAAAGTGAGTACCACTCTTGCTGTCATTACATTCTTCACTCAGAGCCTCGTTACTGTCCGGAAAGAGGCTTATTAAAACAAAGTAAGGAGGCCTACTATTATTGTTAAAAGTGAACACCTCGCTGCACAATCTCACCAAGGCATGAAACTCAAACAAGAGGCATAACTACTGAAAATAAGGAGAAAAACAACAGATTGTAGAAGGTAACATAATAACTTACCTTAAAAACAGAAATGAATAAACTAGAAAGATCCTGGAATTAACAAGCAAGTCAACCAGAATGGCTAAACTCAAGATAAATATTCCAAACTCAATTAACTCTAATATCCCAACAATAACCAATTGTAATACATAATAAGTCTATATTATAGATAAATTTAAGAAATCTATAAAACCTATAGAAAAAAATTAAAAAACTAAAAAACAAAAATTACAAGATGCTGAATAGTATAAGGGAAGAACAGAAAAAATATTGATGACTTTTAGAGTAGTTCCAATTAAAATTTTAATTAAAAAAATCTTGACAAGATGTTCCTAAAGTTTTTCTAATAGAGTAAAAAAATACTTTTCCTTTTTTATAGAGCAAGGACCTTTCTGGCTAAATATTAAAAAATCCTGTAATGTCAAAGTATAATAATTAAAAAAAATTTATAACAGGCCAAAAAAAAAAAAAAAAAAAAAAAAAAAGACAAACTGAACAAATAAAATAACTGTCAAGAATGTGCCCTGTGACATATAAAAATTTAATATAAACTAAAAGAAGCATTCTGATCAACAAAGAAAGAAATAACCTGGGAAAATGGTTATATGAAAAGCACAGCATTACAGAAAAAAAAATTCTATGTGGACTAAAGTTATATATAAATAAATATAATAAAGAAATTACTATTTTAGGTGACTACTTTATGAAGGACTTTCTTAATATAAAATCAAACTTAAATCTGAATATCACACACACACACACACACACACACACACACATATATATATATATATATATATATATATATATATATATATATATATATAAATAATGTACTACAGAGACTATACCAGAGGAGGTAAAAAGTAAGAACTACATTTAAATAGAATCATCTTTGCCTTCTTTGTCCACCAGATGGGGCCTCTTACTCCTTATCCGCAAAGCTCATTTTGCAAGTAGCCTGACCTTGCTTAGAAGCCACCAACATCCATCTAGAACCAATGGTCTAAGGGGGTTGAGAAGGAATTGTGGGAGGCGAGGAGGGGGAAGGCACAGGGGTGGGAGTCTGACTTACACAGCTGGAGGTCTCATTTAGCTCCAGGCAGATAGCTTCGGTCAATTTCACTTCTTTGACTCCGGAACATTTGATTTCTCCCTGTATTAAAACAAAGTAAATAAGCCAGCATCTTCGCCGCTCATTTCCTCCCTACCTCTTTTCCAGTGTGATTCTGTGAAGTACACTCTTAAGAGATGTTCAGAGAAAAGAATTTTAAAAAGTCATTATGGGAGGGAAGAGGTGGGGGTGAGTAGAGGGTCCTAATGTAAGGTGACAGGAGAATATTTGACTTTGGATGGTGATCCCATGGTACAATATACAGATCCTGTAACATAGAAACCCACACATGAAACCTATATGTTCATGTTGACCAATGTGAGCCCCATAAATTTAATAAATAAAATAAATTTTAAAAATGTTAGAGAACTAGAGCTTTATAACAGTCTCCCTCTCTTCCTCCATCTCATCACAGTTCCCAGCAGATACCAGCTATTGGCAAACTTGGTAAACACTGGCACACAGGGTGCAGAGATAGAAGAGGGTAGGGTGGGCTCTTTTCCCCCCAATGAATTATTTATTCCCAGCCAGGCCATACAGAGTGGGGCAAAAATAGGTTTACAGTTGTTATATGAAAAATACAATAACTCATAATACAAGAGTAAATTATATGTTTTTTGTACTCACAAGTGTAAACCCACTTTTGCCTCACCTTGTATAGGCAAACAGATAATTGGGGGGCAGAGCAGAACCTCAGTTTCCTCCTGGCCCCTAGGACTGTCTAGGTGTTTTCCTAGCTCCTTTTAAAAAAGAAACCAAGCAGGTCCCCCAGAGCCTGCTCCCAAGTACCCAGGCCTTATATCTCCTATCCTCTGTGTGGAAAGCGATGGCCAGTCACTAGCCCCAGGGCTGAGAAGGGCCAGTGTTCTCACCATCCCTGGTTGCTCCATTTCTCACTGCCTCTCTATGCCTGGATTTCCGCCAAACCCTCTCACAGAGAGGAAATGGTATTTGCCCTAAGCATTTTGGGAAAAACAGCACCATTAAATGAAAGATGGTTTCTAAATGTGTACAAAGGGGAATGGGGCCCTAATCAAAGCCCAGGACAAGAAGTACTAGAGAAAACCACAGAGGATTGGATAGATCACAGAGAATCCCCTTTAATCTCTACTCCTTAGAAATGCAATTCCCATGGCACAGATCAGCCTAGCCACCTGACTCCACCCCTCTCCCCCTTTCTACCTGTTCCAGCAATATTTAGGCTGCATATTTTTCATGTTAATTCTTTTTATTGATTTTAAAGTAGAGGGAGGGAGGATGGGAAAGAGAAAGAGAGAGAAACATTGATGTGAGAAACATCGGTTGCCTCCTACACACCCTGATCGGGGATCAAACCCACAACCTGGTCAGGGTATGTGCCCTGACTGGAAATCAAACTGTCAAGCTTTCAGTGCATGGCATTCAACCACTAAGCAACACTGGCCAGGGCCCATGCCTATTCTTAATGAGCCAAATCTCATTGGTTAAGATGAGGAGAAGTTAGGGGAGTATAGAGCTCGTATACATATAAAATGAAGGGAAAATCTACCATTTTGGGCCTAATTCACCCACCTTGATGGTACTGGGGGTAGAAGAAAAGGATGTACTGGGTTCAATGGTAAATGCCACTGGACTGGTGCTATTGGATGTCGGGTCTGAAATATTTCCAGGTGACGTGCTGGGCTCCAAGGTCATCTCCGAAGTTGAAAAGTTGGTTAGGGTGGAAGACACGATGGTGGCTAAAGAGGTCTGTGTCTGGGCAGAAGAGTTCATGGTTCCAGGAACTGGGGTAATCCCAGAGGTAGATGCAAACTTGACTGTAGTTTCTGGAAAAGACCAAAACACAAGTGTGCATTTGAGCAAATTTGCATAAATATAAACACACACACACACACACACACACACACACACACACACACACACAACCTCTCAGTTCACTGTCATGAGTGAGGACCTTATAGATAATGACATTAGCATGGTCTTCAACCCAGAAGAGGGAAATTGGGGATTTGAGACTTACTTTATGGCCCACCCTTACCAAACTCATTTTAAGCCAGCTGTTGGCATTATAGCTGTAATCTAGATGTATTGGAATGCCCTCAGGATTCTGAAACTTAACTGGATGCTGGTCCACCCTAGTGAAGTCAAAGACCCCCAATTTGAACCCGTAAACAACTTCCTTCATTTAGGAGAGATCAGAGATGTCTAGGGAGTTCTCAGCTAGCCCTGTTTTGTCACTAAACCAGACTCAGCATGAGAGCAGAGGATCAGCTGCCAAGGCATTGGCCTGAGGATGCTATCATTGGAGGAAGAATGATCTAGAACTTACTTCAGGGTATCCTAAACAAGATGTCCACGCCATTGTTATAGAAACCTGTATTTCCCTCGATGGGGGTCAGCAGGGGCAGGAAGGGTGGTCTGCAAATGTCCTAATGCTTTATCTAAGCACCAGCAGCATCCCTCTGGGACCGAAGACAAACACTTTTTACCTGAGATGTCTGCTGTGGTCCCACTGCTGTTCTGAGAGATGGTGTAGAGGGTGGTACTTTCATGAGTACTTTGTGTTACGGGTTCCTGGTTGGATACATTTGTAGGAACAGCTGAAGACATTCCTTTGGTAGGTGGCTCTGTGGCAACAGTAGTCAAGTTATCTGCATTTGTGAATGCAGAGGCTGTAGAGAAACAACAAAGAAAAGTCAGAACTTAAATTGTCTTGGAGCCTCATGTTATCACCTGATTTAATTTCTATTTCTCCTCCTCCTCCTCCTCCTCCTCCTCCTCCTCCTCCTCTTCCTCCTCCTCCTCCCTCCCTCTCTCTCTCTCTCCCTATACACACACACACACACACACACACACACACACACACACACACACATATATATACACACACAAAAAAAAACCCCCACAAAAACCACGTATTTTCCGGCGTATAAGACGACTTTTGAAACGAAAAAAAGTCAAACGAAAATCGGTGGTCATCTTATAAGCCGAGTATATCCCGAAAAACGTCTCGGTCAAGTTCATGGCATTGCCATTTGTGAAGAGACCTTCCATTTATCGTATCAATGTATGGTATATTACAGTATGTTCGAAAAATGTCATTCATTAAAAATTTAATTAAAAAAAGAACTCGTGTTGCCTCGGAAGTGGGGGGTAGTCTTATACAGCGAATATAGGCCTAAACCTACGTTTTAACTGTAAAATTAGGGGTCGTCTTATACGCCGGAAAATATGGTGTGTGTGTGTGTGTGTGTGTGTGTGTGTGTATAGTTATTATATTAACTATATATATATATATATATATATATATATATATATTAACTATATATATATAGTTAATCCTCACTCAAGGATATTTTTCTCATTGATTTTTATAGGGAGTTGCAGGGGGGGGCGGGTTGGGGGGGTGGGAGGGAGTAAGACAGAGAGTAAGAGAGAAACATTGATGTAACAGAGACACATTGATTGGTTGCCTCCGAAACATGCCCAACCCGGGGATCAAACCAACAACCCTTTGGTCCTTCAACCAGTGCTCTAACCACTAAGGAAACTGGCCAGGGTGTGATTCAATTTCCATCCAGAATATCCTGTGCTCGCTTCAGCAGCACATATACTCAAACTGGAACAGTACCTAGAAGATTATCATGAGCCCTGCGCTCAAGGATGACATGCAAATTTGTGAAGCGTTAGAATATCTCCTGCCACCCCTGGCAAGGCAACAGCAACAAGAACATCCTCCTGGACAGGCAACTAATTTCCCACGACTAGATTTTTCCTAAGGAAATAGGGAAGGAAAAGCTTGTATGCACCAAGTGGCTAGAAGAGTATTATCTGTAGGAGGATTATCTACAGGAGGGAAAAGTTGCAAGTAACTAAAATGAATTACAATCTGATAAAGGCATATGCACCTAAGATACCATAATCATTACCATAAAAGGATATGGAAAAACTATAGCAACATGAGGATGTGAGGCTATGTTCATAACATATTAAGTAAAATATTAAAATAGCAAAGTATACCTGAATAAATATGACAGAGATCTAAAATGTGGGGAGGATATATCTCTATTCCTTTCTTAAGGTATCCTCTCTTTTTCTCACTCTCTATCCACCACCACATTAGTTCTTGGAACAATCACTACGTCATACCATCCTCTATGCCAGTGGTTCTCAACCTTTCTAATGTCGCGACCCTTTAATACAGTTCCTCATGTTGTGGTGACCCCCAACCATAAAATTGTTTTTGTTGCTATTTCATAACTGTAAATTTGCTACTATTAATGGATTTTAATGTAAATATCTGTTTTCTGATGGTCTTAGGCAACCCTCCTATCAGCTCTCAACCTGTGTGTCGCGACATTAGAACCACTGCTATAGAGCCTAAAACCCATAGAAAACACAGATATTTACATTATGATCCATTAACAGTAGCAAAATTACAGTTATGAAGTAGCAACAAAAACAATTTTATGGCTGGGGGTCACAACCACATGAGGAACTGTATTAAAGGGTCGCGGCACTAGGAAGGTTGATAACCATTGCTCTATGCAGTTTATGTTTCTTCTCTTCTTCCTAGACTTTTCCATTCCCAAACTCCCCTCGTTCTCTCCCTCTTGGCCTTTAAACCGATTCTGCTTTTCTTTGGTTGAAGAACTGCAGCAAGCAACCCTAAGGTTTCCTTCAGGGATCTCTGCCCTAGAGATCTAGCTGATGAACTGGAAAACATCAGGCCTGATTCCTCATCAGATGCAGACAGAGTTTAGCTTTGGCTCTGCCAGTAACTTCACAATTTAATGTGTGTGTGTGTGTGTGTGTGTGTGTGTGTGTCTGTTTACAAATCTCTAAAGGGAGGGTTTTTCCTTACATGGATTCTTGGGAGAATCAATGACATGAATGTTAACTTGCTAGTGACAATGTTCCCGGACCTAGTTAATCTCTGAAGACCTTCACGAGGGTCCTTGCCCTCATGTTTCCTAGTTTCCAGCCAGCAGTGCCGTCTTTAGACCCAGGGAGAAGCTTCTTGCCTGGACCCTGAGCTTTAGAGCCCACACTGTTCCTCCTCCTGCGCTGCCCTCCAACAGAGATGGAGCCTCCCTTCCAGAATGTACCTTGGGGGTCAGAAGTCCTCGAACGTGTTCCTCCCTGCAGGACCTGCCCGGGCCTTCTCTCCCAGCCCATCCTGCGGAGGGGAAGCTGCAGCACCAGAGTGGGCGCCTGCAAGGCCCAGAGGCAGCGGAAGGGTGGCTCTTTGCAGGGAGAAGGCTTAGAACATAAGCATGCGGGTGGAGTGTCCCTTACGTGCACATAAGACCCACTACAGTGTGGGCCAGCATCATGGTTAAGAAGAAAAGAGGGGGGAACTAGGACCAAGGGCCACCTCCTCTTGCTCAGCCACATTATGGGACTGAATTCCAGGACCACAAGAATCTCACATTCAAACCTGGCCTTTCAGGTGGCCACGAAGTAGGAGAATAGATGGTATTTTATTTATCAGTCGGTTGGCTTGGTTCAGTGGTCGGCAAACTGAGGCTCATGAGCCACATGCGGCTCTTTGGCCCCTTGAGTGTGGCTCTTCCACAAAGAACCACAACCTGGCCGAAGCCGGTTTGGCTCAGTAGATAGAGTATCGGTCTGTGGACTGGGGGGGTCCCAGGTTCGGTTCCGGTCAAGGGCATGTGCATTGGTTGCGGGCGCGTCCCCGGTGGGGGGTGTGTGGGAGGCGGCTGGTGGATGTTTCTCTCTCATCTACGTTTCTGGCTCTCTGTCCCTCTCCCTTCCTCTCTGTGGAAAATCAATAAAATATATTAAAAAATAAAAGTAAAAATAAAAATAAAAGAACCATGGCCTGGGCGAGTCTATTTTGAAGAAGTGGCGTTAGAAAAAGTTTAAGTTTAAAAAATTTGGCTCTCAAAAGAAATTTCAATTGTCATATGGTTGCTACTTGGCTCTGTTGACTAATGCGTTTGTCGACCACTGGCTTGGTTTATAACTTTGAAGTATTTAGACATGTAGTATTGGGCCTCCCCTGTACTCTGGGCTCAAACCTGTACGTGCTGGCGGTGGACTGGAGATCCGGAGCTCACACCCCGCAGTGCCAGCCTCAAGGAAAGGCTCCTGAGGGCCCCCAAAGCTTGTCTCTAAATGTTCCCGCTGGAGAGCTAGGTGAGCCTTTTCCCGAGGTTCCCAGGAAAGAGCAATGCAGAATGACGCCTTTTCTTTCCCTCAGCCACGGGAGGGACGTTCTATTAACCTGGGCCCAAGAATGCGTCCCTGGAGACGGTGACAAGTCTCTCTCGCCCCCTATATGCCTCCCTCCCCAACCTGCCGCCAAGATGACTGCCATTAAGGGCAAGGACGACCATCATGTTCATACTACGTGGCAGGTGAGCAGGCGGACACAGTAACTCCGCTCTGTCCGCTTTGGAGATGAGGACCCGCCTCACCAGGGTTTGGGCAGAGAATAGAGGCACAGTTCATGTGGGGCGAGGAGCAATGGGGCCTGGAGGGTTCGCTGACTCAGGGGGCCAAACCTCTCAGGACCAGCAGGCACCCTCCGTTCTCTGGAAAGAAAAGGAGGGGCTCCTGTCTGGCTTAGGGAGGGAGTCAGTTTGACAAAATAAAATAGGCAGGGAAGCAGATCCCATCTTCTTCTGTCCTGAAGTAGGGCCCGCTCCGCAATCTGCCCCTAAGGTCTGGTTCACTGTAGAGAGCAGGTGATAAGAAGTGAAGTCATCCTCTCGAGGTACATTGCAAGGCACTGCTGGAATCCCCCGTGACGTCACTCTTCCTGCCCACCCTTTCCTCTTCTTCCCCTCCGATACATCAATTCCTGGGAATCCCATCTGGCCCAGCCTGGCCCAGCCCTTTTCTCTTCCCAAAGGAAGCTGGGCCTGGCTGAGGTGATGTCATGCCTTTGAACCCCCTCCCCCAGGGCCTCCTTCACCCAGACAAACAGTTTTGAACTTTTCCAGATGTGCCGAGCGACCTGCTGCGAGTGCTGAGGACCGAGGTGCCTGTGCCAGATGAGTGAAGCAACCCTTGGCCCAGGCCAGCAACCAACCCACTAGGGTCGGGCTCTGGGCTGCCGCAGCCTCCTCCCACCCACCCCTCAGCCTCAGCCGAGCACTGGGGGACTCTAGCAGGATCCATCTGCAAATGGCAATGGGACCCCAACCACACATTCATGTCTCCAAACCTAGGGTGAGCAGGGAAGCCTCGGAGACACTGGGGAAACTGAACAGAGGTGGAGAACAGAAAGGCGAGGCTGAACGTGGGGTACGCACAAGCTGGTGGAGGGCCAGGGGACACCTCGGCAGGGCCATGGGAGACAATCCTGGCCTGTTGCTGCAATACAGGGACATCCGTGAGGGAGTCTCTTGGTTTCACAGTCTCTAGGGACCCTTTTATAGAATTCGTTCCCATGAAGGGTCTTGAAGAAGTGACATTTATAAGAATCAAGATGGGCCATAGATCTCTTTGAGTCCTACTCCCCACACACACCATGGCATTAAGCCTTCGAATCTGACCTTTCTTTACATGAACTTCTGTTTCCTTAGTCTGCGGGGAGGAATAGCGGCCTACCAGGCAGATTCTTAAAAGCGATGGGTAAAACCCGCACTCCATCCATTCCACTCTAGACTGGAGGCATAGCCCTCAGCCAGACCACATGAGAGCACAACTTAAACTGGAAGAAAACACCATCTTCTGTTGTTTACTTCTCAGTCCATCTTTATTAACTGGCACTCAAGAAGTTTATAATGGAACTAACATGGCAAGACCTCTACTCAGGAAGTGGTATACATGATTTGTCCTCTGTACGTGATGGAGACGCCAAGTCCCAAGACCTTAGAGACGCAGAAGGACCTACACAGCTATGTGATCTCCACTCTTGAACATGGAGCAAGAGAAAAAGACAAGGTATCAGGGAGTTGGCAATACGAGGATTCTCAGAAGCCAAGTTAGATGTCACAAAATGGATGTAGCAAAAGTCACCCATTTAACTTACAGGCCCTTATTCAGAGGCCACTATTCTTGTTTTATACACAATACTATCACATTGGTTATTTGATATACTAGCTAGAGCTGAAAATTAAAAAGGGACTCTTAGAAACAAACAAGAAATAAGGAGCAGCAGCAGCTAAAAATGAACTGAAATAAATGAAAAACAGACATGAGTATCAAAACCCACACAGGCCTGGAGTCATAAATGGGAGGAGTAAATAAATATGTTCACCTCAAAGAGCATTAGGATGTCACCGAGTTGTACCTTGAACAAACTGTTTCCATGATATATCTGAAGCATGAAGGTTACAGTCCTATTGTTTGTTACACTTAAGGAAACAGAGGTGTCTGAAATACATTTTTATAAGATTTCTACCTACAGCTAGTGAATTGAAGGTATTGTTCCTCTTTCAAGGGGGGGTCTGGTGCGGTTATAAATCCTCAGCAGTTCAGAAAGGTCTGCTACCTAAATAACTCAATTTCCACACCTTAGAAGACTGTGTTTTCCTGTCCTTGATTTTACTTTTCTTAGAGCCTTGGTTTCATTTTTTTGCTGGTGTTGTTTCTGGACCACCTAGCCCAGTGGTCGGCAAACACATTAGTCAACAATGATTAAAATTTCTTTTGAGAGCCAAATTTTTTGAACGGAAACTACATAGGCAGGCACATTGTTATTAACTTAATTAGGGTACTCCTA